AGGTATGAGGCCTAGTTATGGATGTGATCCGGTGTACCGTCTTTGGTTTCAGAAGCTATTGTCCTTTTTGATTCGAAGAACTCGAAGCTGCAGGAACAGACTTAATGTGGGACTGTGGACCAGACATACATCCACCACTGATCAAGCGTTAGCATGTTGTTGTTGGATCCACGATCTCGGATCGTCCCCTCGCGGGATGAGATGGAATTGATCATCAGTCAGAATCATCTAGATCAATAAATTTCGATTCCGGTCCTTTTCACGGTGTCGCGTTGCGACGCCGTTCGACGGCGGACGTGATATCAACTGCTCTTCGCGCCTCGCGTAGCTAGTTGCACGGGTTGAAGCACTACTATGGGGGCGGACATATACTTACCTTTGTAGGAACGTGGGTCCGTGGGCAGGCAGGCAGGGAGGTTCCTTTGTAAACTTCGGCTTCCGCTATCTGCCTCTCGTCTCGCTCGTTGGCGTCATTCCTTGACCGCTCAAGGAAGCCCCACGCGCATATGTAGAAGGACGGAGTATTCGTCTCCGTTCAGAACGATGGCTCTGACCCAATCTCGGACGGCGGGATCTGTCAAGAACTAGGACTAGGAGAACTTGGCTTGCGCTGTTACAGGAGCGGTGGGCCACCTCCCACTTCGCCGCGCCTTGTCGCGCCACGAAAGGACGTGGTCTTTCTTCTGCTCCCAGCTCCATTCCGGGTCGTAAGGCTCGTATTCGATCTCGAAGAACTTCTCCGTGGCTCCGTCGGATAATATGTCGCCCACTATGTCCAGTGCAGGCGCCTCGAAACCGTCCCGGTCATCGAGAAGGAGATCGGCCATTTGGAGTCTTTCGCCCAAGGTCATTTGCAGGCTTTTGTCGAGTTGATAGGACAAAAGCAAGAACTCGGCAATGTTGTTCTGATCGTCGTCATAAGCCACAAGGGCGGCTTTCAGCGTGTCGGCGCAGAGTTGGGGGATCGACGTCATGTAGTTGACGCGAATGGCATCACGCATGCTCGTGCTGTGCAGGATTGCTCGCAGCGAAAATATCTTGTCCCTGCGCTCGAAGCAATCCGTGTCCTCCGTCGCATAGAGATAGCCCTGCAGTTCGCGGTGTCCCTCCCATTCCACATCTGATATGTGGGCTGGGTCATGTGCGAACTTGTGCCCATTCCTTGCGTCGTCCAACTTGGTCAATTTTCTTGTCCACCCTTGATCGAATCGCATCACATCGGTGAAGTTGTACTTGAGAAGATGCTCCCACGCGATCTTGTTAGAGCCACAGCAAATCAGTAACTCGCGGGCACAAACAATCTCTGCGACTATCCAAGTTCTGTGCCAGTAGCGACGGTTCATAAAGTCGGCCAGCGTGTTGTACTTGTGCCGGAACTCGGCACGGTCTCGGTCAAAAAGGTTAGTTGCAGCTTCCTCGGAAGTGTCGAAGAGACTCTCGCTCGAATCAGAGTGCTCCCCAAGCCAGGCTAGAACCCTCGTGGCGTTCTGAAAGATATCGCCGATCATTTTGACCTGTTGTGCCTTCTCGTCCGAATCATCCTGTCTGATGCTAATGGCATCGACCCACAGAAGCCTGTGCGTTGTAGCGGAGCGAAAGCGACGGAGAGCTTGATCCAAATTCATCCGGACGGGGACGTTGTTTCCATCCACATTGATGGAATTGGGTGATGTCTGGTCGCCCCATGTGTAGGATATACATTCGTATTCAGGACATGAGTCCGCAGCAATGTCCACAACAACAATTGAAGCTTTCAGAGGGTTATCATACGATCCTTCCTTGAGCTGCAGAACCCTAGTGGAAGAAGGAGAGGGAAGAGGAGAATATATCTTCTCAGCGATCGATGGGCTGAGCTGGGCGTCCTGGAATATGGTTGCCATTGTCAAAAAGCAGACGAGCAGCTTACCTAGGGGTGATCTGGGGGGATGCAAGTTGCCCAAGTTGCCCAACTCGCTTGTGAACAGCAGTCTGCGCGCTAAGAATTGCACCGTCCGTGGGGGCTTGTCTCGGAAGTCTTTTGCTCATCCACGTGGTTATCTGCTCTCCACCTCGCTACCACTGCGCCAGTTACCACCAGGATGGCACCAAGAGAGCATCCTCACTAAGCAAGTAGCACCCCCTAAACCCAGAATACTCCACTTTCCGGGAAAAGAAAAAGAATGCCGGATCGGTCACTGTGCGGCTGGTAACGCATTGTACGGAGTACCATGTACAACAGGAAGGATTGATATGATGGAAGAAATGAAGTGGCAAAAGAGGCTGGAACTGCTTCCATATGTTCTTCTCCAGTGACAAGGGAATGGCGAAAGGTTTCAAAAACATTCATGTCAAAGCAGGACGTGGAGTGTGCGCAACGACTGGTGTTTCGAGGTCAGATTGGACGCTCGGCGCTTTCTCGCAAGAACGGTAGTTAGTTCTGACACGTCCATTCGGGTTGCAATAACTACGCCTACTCGTAACGGAAGATGTAGGGAGTACCAAGTAGGGGGGATGGGAACCGATACTCATCGAAAGGGGCTCCTAGTCAAGGCATTTTCCTCTGTTACTCTCTTGTCATGGTCTACCTGACGTTAAGCGTCGTTCCAACAGGATGCGAGGGAGATGGAGTCAGCTTGAAAGCTGAGACGTAATAATGGCATGGAAAAGAGTTCCACTTTTCTGCCAATCTCGCAAGTGTACGCGCAAGCCCCCTTCGTCGTTTTGCTCAGCAGACCCCAGGGGAAAATGAAGAAAACGTAATCTCCTTATCACTGGTCGGTGAAGATTTACCGGTCTCAAGTGCCAAGCTCAACTCCTCTCAGGCTAGTACCGAAACTGATTGATCCGGAACCCGTTCGCCTTTTGACTTTGGTGGCTTGAATCATGCTTAACAAGACGCTTAAGCATAAGCGGAGATGCCCCAGCGTTCCTGGTCCGAGGACGGAGTGAGGTAACTATGCTTAGGTCAAGGTCCTTGGAGAGCCATCAGCATCTTTGCCCGGGAATGTTGCTGTAATCACAACCCCTGAGCAGTTAGTACACGTACTCGGAGCTGAACCCGACGGTCGGTCAGCTGGAGAAGGGGCCAAGGAGGAAGAGTGGAATACTTGCTTGTGCATCGAATCGCATTGGCAAAGGACCCAGAGGGCCAAGAGGCCCAGAAATGGACCAAGCATTCGATCAAAGGCTAAAGGCCGCCTGGAGACCGCCGAGACACTGCATTACGCAGATGCCTACGGATGCCCAGGCGCCCAGCCGCGAGTCAGATTAGAAATTGAAACGAGGGTCGTCAAAACTAAGAACACCAAGAGAAGGCCAAGAGTGGCCAAGACTGTTGGCGTCTTCGCTAGCGTCGTGCCAAGTCTCTGCATTTATCGGCAGCCCATCTCGACACGTTTCCGAGGTGGCTGGCTGGGCAGAAGCATCGAGTGTTGCCTACGGTTTCGCTGCTTGAATTCGGTACCGAGGGTACCTCGTACATACGAGTATGGCTGTGATTGTGAGAAACCTTGTGTCAGCAGATCGCACCGCAGCGTGGTTGTAGCGAGTAGGTGCTCCAAAGAGGGTGTGATCTTCTTTTCCCCTTCGCTTCCGGACCTTCCCAGATGCCAAGCCACCCTGATGGGGCATTAGTTTGACTCAGGCTTTTTGCCCAGGGCGAGGGCGTCTTGGGCCGTCATGCCACGACAATAATTCCGTTGGCAACTTGGGTTCTTCCCGAAAATTGCAAGGCCACCAGCTTGCCATTGGCTGTAACGGAACATGAGGCCATTCCCAAGACAACCCAAAAGAAGAGCTGGAATCAATTTCCCCTTGGGTTGGCAGCGCTGATCACCCAGCGAGGATGGTCATCTCCTGATCCCAGGGCCAAGGCAGAAGGTAAAAAGTCGAAGAAAATAGAACTCGGCACTCGATCTAGGTAATGGGTGCTTGGATACAAGGTGCAAGCAGTGGCGAACGCGCATACTGGGTACACACCCTCTCCTTGCAGCTCCGTTGAATTATCGACTGCTGCGAAACTTGGTCTCCCGCGGTTATCGGGTTATCGAGGGTACCGGGTCTCCCTCCCTAAGTACGGAACGTCGTCCTGCTCGCTTGCAGGCCCAGCGATCGATCATGGGCTACGTTCTGAAGAATGGCGGTCACTGGCCCGCGTCCTGCTAGCTGCTGCGGGCACTGGGTTAAGCATAAGCCTAGTGTGCAGGCTTGACCCGCTGCGGAAGTGGCATAACTGTTGGTGCCCTCCAAGGCTTGGTAGTGAACCCAGGGCTTGCGAGGGTTCAGGGCCCAGCCAAGGGCAGTAAGGTATCCACCAACAGGCCAGAGCGCCTCCCACACTGCGCCTTGAACTTCTTCTATTTGTCTGGCGTTGCTGCTCTTGTGCTTGTGATTTTTCGCACTTCTCTCACGTTCCCATCCTCGCATTCACGAATCGGTGCTGCCAGCCATACCAGCCTCTGATCTTCCCACGACTGCAGGCCCCGTAACGTCGATTGACGAGCCCTAATTGCGCACCACCCAGGCGCTCAATTGCCTCCACGCTGCTCTCCGAGACTGGTCTGAGTACTGGCATTTCTGGTCCACCGGCTCTTTGCATTTGCATTATTAGAGGCATCGTTCTGGCATCTCGTCAACCCTGTGGATGCACTCGTCGATTCTCGAAACATCGAGCAGTTTTCGCACAGCTCTCTCCTCAGTCCTCGGAACCACTTGAGCAACCATAGTGTGTGGACTATTTCCCGTTCAGTGTTGCGACCGCGCGCGGAGGCGCAGTCGGTTTTGCGCCCGGAAAAAAAGCAGGTCAAGCAAAGGCTAAATTGCGTCAGGCATCTGAGGAAGGGAACACGCGAGCAAGCAAACAAATGGACGCGGCGAGCTGAGGTGTGTGTGCAAGAGCATTCAGCCCGCCGCGATTGAGCCGAACGCACTAAAACCAACGACTGGCACTCGACCGTGTGCAGACCCCCTTGGTCAACGAGTCCTCCGACAAAATTGGACAAGGTTTTCAAATTGTTCAGACGATGGAGACATACAACGGTCTCGTCCGCACCCCTACAGACGCCATCATCCTCTTTGAGGCTTGCAGATTAGGCATACTACCTCGAGTCCAGCGGAGACTATCAGAGAAAGAAAGACAGTCGATCAGATCCGGTTCGGTCTTTGTCTGGGATGAGCGAGAGGCGGGAATGCGGAGATGGACTGATGGAAAGAGCTGGAGCGCAAGCCGCGTCTCGGGCAGCTTTTTGACCTACCGCGAAATGGAGGGTAAAAGAGGGGGGAACTCATATACCAATCCGGCCAGGCCGGGCACAAAAACTCCAGAAGCTGCTCAAGATGATCCTTCACAGGCCGGCGAGGGAGAGGAGGGGCCAGACGGGTATCGCTACAAACCGGACGGTCTGATGAAGCAGTCCTTCAGCATCACCACTTCCCAAGGCCAACATCTGCATCTCATCAGCTATTACTCCCGGTCACACCCAACCTCCCAAGTACTGCGACAACCAAGCACCGATCCCAATCTGGCTTCCATTCAACCAGCGAAAGGCATGTATCCGGAATCGACCATCAACGATCAATCAGCCGTCCCCCCTGTCACTCGGTCACCCATGATTGGCGCCCCAGGATATATTATGACTCCAGGCGCCCCAGGATACCACCGTCCTCCTCCGCCACAAGCGTACATTCCGCCGGGCTACATCCCTCATCCAGCGTACATCTACCCGATCAGTCCCATGCACACCCCTCCTCCTGGACACTACTTGCCATATGCTCTTCAGCCCGGCTTACCCCCGCTCGCATATTCCGCGGCGCCCTATCCTTCACCACACCCTTTGCCTCTCAACCAAGCACCGCCATCCTCGTATGATCAGCGGCCTCTACGACACTCGGAGTCCCGGCCTTCAGGGCCTCCTCCTTTACCGCCGGCCACCTCGGCGCAATCCCCACTGCCCACATACACTGTTAGCCAACCTCCTCCGCCACTGTACCAGTCTGGCCCTGCTCCGCCTGTAAATGGAAAAGCTCCCGAAGCTTCTAATGAAAATGCCGGCTCTGGGCTACAAATAGATCCGCGGCTGACTGCCACTACTAATGGAGGCGATGCCCAGACCAACGGTGCCAACAGCAAGAATGAAGAGAATCCGTCCGGAGCGCAACCTTCTGATTCCACAACTGTGAGCGCCAGTCAAGCCCCCACTATCACCGCACTCGTCCACAATATCAACACGAAGGTTCCTCCTGCAGACAAAAGTCAAAACGAGGCGGAAGCGGACCGGCAAGGAAGTACGAGCCCGGGCGGAACCAAGAATGGAGTGCTACCACAGGATATTCCCAGTGAGAAACTAGGCTTTCGGGAGGACAAGAGAGCCTTGAGCAAGCTGGACCGCGTATTATTTCAACCAGGTCAGATTTAGCGTTCGGGTTAAAGGTACTCACTCGGTCAAAGGGGGGGATTCGCAATCGTTTTTAAGAATGGGCACGAAGTCACGAACTTTCATGACTGCAGTATTCTACGGAGTACTTTGTTATTATTTTTTTTTTCCCGTCTCTTTCTCAAAGAAAGAATTTGTTCTGAGCCAGGCCAAGTCCCCTGGGTGCTTGAAGGGGGGATGTTTGACATTGAAGAAGAAGGGACGATAACGCTGTATTTGAGAGATACCTTGCGCGGTAGCATCCTATGTAGTTGCAAGAAAGCTCAAGTAGTAGACTGTACTGTATGAAAGTAATATTTCGGCTGGTGCAGTAAAATGATCAGAAAATGACATGACATTTGGGTTGATCGATCAGGTTCGGCTTGAAGTCGGAGTTGGAGAAACTGAGAAGCAGCCAGTCACCCGAGAAGAACTCGCTGTCAGCAGCTGATCCGCCAGATCAGACTTAGTCTGTCACCGATTTTGTATCCCTAAAACAAAACTCGACCTCGTTGCATCGTTGCTAGGTCTTCTTCTCAAGAATCACGGTGACTATGAATGACCGAATGATTCTCCAGGTCAAAGCCGCCTCCTAGCTGCCCGTGAGGCAAGAGGACGACACCCTAGTTGCTAATATGCTAGGTGCCCAACCCTTAGGAAACTCTACAACCTTCGTCAACGGCGTCGCCCTCAATGAAACCGCATTAAGGCTCTGGAACTACACGCTTTACAGTAACGGCACACTGTCCAACGGCTCGCACTGCTTCCTCGCGTTCGGCGCCCACAAGCCCATCGTTTCTGGGGATGGATCCGTCGCCAACACAACTTCATGCTACGCGCCCATCAATCCTATCGAGGCTCGAGGCATCACGGGACTTGTGTTCGGGTCTCTATTTGCCGTGACAATCCTATTCTCCACAATCAATCTGAGGAAGCACGGCCGTGCATATCTGCCCCGAGAGAAAGGATGGAAACCCGTCGGGAGACGTTGGCCGTGGTACTGGACTCTGATCGTCGCGGCGTGTGGCATCTTGAGCTCTTTCACCGCTGTCGATGTTGACAGAGATTACATCGTGAACACGCCCATAATCCTTCAATGCTTCTTTCTGACCCTCATGGTCCCGGTGTTGTTAGCTTGTGTCTGGGAGGCTGTCAGATACTGGTTAGTATGACGCGATACGCCATTCTTTTCTTGAGCTTGAAGAATCGTCATTCTGTCTAACTTGATTGATAGGAGCTCATGTCATCATCGTCGGCTTCGGGAGGCCGAATCTTTTGCATATTCAGCAAACGTATTCCAGAATAGAACCAATTTCTACCTTCCCTTACTCTTCTACGCCTTCGACAGCCTGGTATTCTTCATGCTCATTCCCCGATCTTGGTCATTTGCTCAGAGACAGCGGTCCGATATGCAGACTCTACAATCAGCCAGACCTGCGGCGCTCGATGCTCGGTTCAAGCTAGCTTCCGTCCTCGCAACAATCTGCCTCGGGCTTGTTATCTTTCGATTAGCCTATAGTAGCAGGGCTTACAGAGCCAAAATCCCGATGACCCTCCTACTCGTCACCGTCTCTGTTGGCTTCCGCATTGCATATATGCTTGCAGGGTCCTGGGTTTGGGAACTATCGCCATATCGTCGAGAAGTAAGCGTTGGTTTGCTGTACGGACTCGGGTACACCCCAGGTCTGTTCATTCTTGTGCTCCTCAATATTCACGGATACATCGATGAAAATGAAGACAAGCTATTGATCGCCCAGCGCGCGCTGAGAGGCGGAGAACTGGGCGACGGGCTTGATATTGCCATGCAATCTCTTCAGAATCGCAATCGAAGCCCCAAGAACAGACCGCCAGCCTGGTGGTTCAGGTCTCGGAATCCCTTCGCATCACCAAGCGGTGTCTTCAAAATGCCCACCGCCTCCCGACGACTTCCGTTACAAGACGTCTCTCGACCAGTGTATACGAACCGAGCAGAAGAACAGGATGAAAGTGGATACTTTTGGTGGCAGCGGCGGAGACGGGAAGAAGATGCCAGGTATAGGAAACCAAGGCAAAGTGCGTACAGTAATAGGGAGGTGGGCGACTCTGCGGTAACAGAAGGCGATACTAGAGGTATCGGGCCGCGATTGGGGGAGCGAGATTCCTCACTGCCCCCTCCGAAGTACCAGAGAGAAACACCGTCCAACTACAGCCAAGACGGTCGGTTACAGCATACCTCGTCCACTCACTCGCTCCAATCACCGCCTCAGGTGGTCCGGAGTATGCTCGACGTTTGATACATCGAAGAACACAGGCGAAGCAAACGTAAAAACAAAAGGAGGGACTTTTAGAAGGACCGATCATGACAGGCAACGTACACAAACACTCCGACACAAGGTAAAAGAATGACTGGATCTCGAATAATTGGACTGTTCAAGGGTATTCAGTAAGTTCGTTCTCACGACCCAGCCTGATTCTGACATGAGGACAGCCTGCCCACTTGTACAACGATCGACACCGCGTGTGTGCAATTGTAATCCCAACACCTGACCTTCCAATTACAAGCCCTTTTCCGCTGCTGTTGTCCTATTCGTCGTCGCACGTTGCAGAAAGAAGGTCGCAAATTTCAACCCCCAAACCTCACAAGTCGCATCTTATTAAAATCCACTGTGATCCCGGCAGAACCACTCACCCTACTGCCGACCTGAGCTTGGTGTTCAAGTCACAAAACCAGATTCCCCAGACAATCAGGATATGGCTGTTGCTTCAGTCCAGATACAATCAGTATTCAAGAAGGTTATGTCCCTAGTCTGGAGGACTGCAGATTTGAGAAGCAGGGCAGCAACGACGGGTTGAGCAAAGCAGGAGGCGGCGTGGGTTGGTGGTTCGGTGATCACGAGGTCTATGGTGCGAGGGAAGGAGTCGTCGCGGGACCAGGCGCTTGCTTGGAGGTGGAGGCCGACAAGGTCTTGATCCTATGGCGACTGATGTGGTCGGAGTGGACAGGGCGCAGGCATTGAAGAAGCATCGTGCGGACTTCTTACTTCTGCGTGCTTGTCTGCGGTGGCGCTCATGGCCAGCGCTAGCGCGGCGATGGCGCTGTCGGGAACGGGCATGATAGCGCTGAGCTGCTTTGATCGACTGAAGCTGAGTCTGGAGGAAATCTCGGTATTCTTGAACGCAGACAAGGGTGCCTAAATCTGTGGCTGGCAATGGCTTAGGACTGGCTTGCTTGTTTCTGCTGCAGGATGATGAATTGGAGAACTTGATCGTGGCGAGTCCATCCTTCTCTTTTAGCTCGTGCAGGCCTTGTTGATCCAAGGCCACGCGGGTCGGCTGGGTGTATTGGCTGCTGGACGCCATGGCTGCACTGATATTCACAGGATCAAAGGCATTGAGAGATTTCACGAAAGAAGCCGATACCAAACCTTTGGCAGAGAGTACGGCGTAGGCCGTCACGCTGGGGTCAATGGCTCAATATAAAGTCTCGACGGGCAGTCTCGTCGCTAAGAGCTCGGGCTGGATATACAATCCTTATATCAAAGCATGACATACTGCATGAAAGGATCTCCGGCATATGTAGGGCAAAAAACTGACCCGGCGGTGAGGATCCGAGGCAGGAAGAGCGCTCGGGGATAACACCAACAAATTAACAAAGAGCATCCTCAGTCCGTCAACGGCGCTAGCTGGCAGCAGTAAGCGAACGACAACGATCTGCCGCATCTGGAAACTATAAAATAGCCAAGGCAGGGAAGAGGAGGAAAAATGAGAGGAGTCTCGTCTGATATGACTTTGCGCGTCGTGGAACTCCGTTGCACCAGGAGGCTCCATGTTTAGAACTTGTCGAGTCCGTCTCGGATGCCGTACCGGGGCGCAGGATGTCGTATTTTACTTAAGGCTGAGTGGCGATGAGAATGTGGAGTATCGCTGAGTGAAAGAGGAGGCAGCCGATGGTGGTAGCACGTTGATCGTTGATCGCAAGGCTGAGTATGTCGTTCGGCATCCGACCGGAGAAATAGTTTTGCCGAGTTCCGCAGTTTCTGGATGCCAAATCGCATTGCGCTCCTATCACCAAAAAAAAAACGAGTTGCCCACGCGGCTGGGAGCTCCTTTGACCTTTCTCGCACCACCGGATACTCTGCGGCTGCTGCTGTTGGCTGCCCCTCTCTGCGTGATGCTATGGCGTGTCTTGAAGGCGCCATGGCATCTCGGAGACGAGATTCTGCCTCGATGCTCATCCCTTAACATTCTGGCCCCCCGAAATAGGATTGTACCGTCACCCTCCTGCTTGCGACATGTGCATGGTCATAGCGTAGGAGAAACAGCGACCTCACCGGCCCTTATCCGCCATGCCAGACTCTCGAGTGATGCCGAGTACGTCAACGGACGACGAGCCAACGAACCCGTCAAGATTGCAGGCCTGGTCCGCAGTATCAGGAAGCAGAAGAACGTCGCCTTTGCCCGGATCGGTGATGGTTCTACGCTCGCGAATGTCCAGGCTGTGTTTCCGGATCCGCAATTGGCCAAAGAGTATGTGGATGCACATTCTAAGAGCATGGGCAATTTCTGACACCAAGCTCCAGCATTACCAACGGTGCATACGTCTTGTTGGTAGGCAAGTGGATTCCTTCCAAGGGAGCAGGACAAAGTCATGAACTGCAAGTCGAGAAGATTGAATCACTAGGTGATGGCAATACCTCTGTAGGCTCACTGTTGACCCTTGGACGCTGCCGCCTCTGACCATGGCGATAGGAGAACCCAATCCAAAAGCAATCCATGTCGACTGATTTTCTCCGAACGGTCCCTCACCTTCGAATGCGCACAGCCTTTCACTCCCTGGTCAACCGGACTCGCAGCCAAATGATCTCCGCCATCGTGTCGCACTTTTCCAACCTACCAGACCCCGTGTATCAAGTACTGCCGCCGCTGATAACCTCGTCCGATTGTGAAGGTGCGGGAGAAGCTTTCACTATAGCTCCGCAAAGCCACGAGCAACTTCCAGGAACAACACCAGACACGTCCAAGGGACAAGAGAAGCTGTACTTTCGAGAACCAAAATACCTCACTGTATCATCACAGCTACATCTTGAGGCACATGCCGCTGAACAAGGGGATGTCTTTGCCTTCTCTCCCACCTTCCGCGCCGAAGAAAGTGATACCCCACGGCATCTTGCGGAATTTTATATGCTCGAGGTTGAACATCGACATGTTGCTTTCAAAGACCTCCTATCCCGAGTGCAGAGCTTGGTGACATATCTGGCGCAATCACTTCAAGAGCATCGCACGGGCAGGGAACTTGTGGAGTACTACTCGGACCAGAAACACCGCTCTTCAGATGCAGACTTTGTGGACCTGCAAGATCGCTGGGACAGACTCACGGGGAAGTGGCACGAAGTGGACTACACATCGGCAATGAACTCGCTGATAAAAGCTCATGAATTGAGTGGTGCCAAGCTTTTTGCTCACCGTCCTCAATGGAACCAAGGATTGCAATTAGAACATGAGCGGTGGATCGTGGACCATCTTGCAGAGGGCAAGCCAGTGTTTGTCACGCATTACCCGAAAGATGTCAAGCCATTCTACATGCTCCCTTCATCGGCAATGACTCCTCAGCGAGATATTCCTCGATCGGAGTTCAGCGGCGATACTATGGCTTGCTTCGACCTTCTTCTTCCCTTTGGGTATTGCGAAGTCGTCGGGGGAAGTCTCAGAGAACACCGGCTCGAGCATCTCATTCAGTCTATGCGTCAAAAGGGGCTTATCAAGAGAACTGAGCTGTCGAATGGTGAGAATAACGGGAATGGTTATCCGTTTCTGGAAAAGGGAGAGAGTTTGGGAAACATGAAGTGGTACGCCGATCTTCGACGATTCGGAAGCAGTCCGCATGGAGGCTACGGCCTGGGATTTGATCGCTTGCTGGCCTACATGGCCGGTGTCAACAATTTGAGAGAGGTCGTTCCGTTCCCGAGGACCTGGGGGCGGGCGGATTGCTGAAAGCGGATTTGTAACAAGAGCTAATAAGGCCCACACTTGTATACATATGTGCCGCTATGTATGTTCCCATCTTATATCCCAAGCCCAGCCAATGTATGTGTATATATGTGTGTATATATATTCTCGCGTCTTCTATACTCCAAACTCCATACGCCTTACTCCTTTGCAAGGATGAACGGATGGATGGCGAGAAGGATTTCATGTTGCTGCTACTAGGTAACGTCTTCCTGGCTGGCTGGCTATCTGTTTGTATGTATGTATGTATGTGGAGGCACTTGGAGAGCTTGAGGTTCAAAGTTCAATGTTCGAATTTCAAAACTACGTACGCCTTGTAAAGGACCGTAGGCAGCAGCCAGCAGGCAGCCAGCAGAGACAACGCCCAACTTCATCCTCCTGTACCGAAGCAGCAAGGTTCTACGGAGAAGGGAAAAGACAGAAGGTGAAAAGCCAGACATGAGTTCTACAAAGGACGCTATCCATCCTTGATCAAAGGTCTCCGCTCAATCAAGGATCTGACCCCCCTCCCCCCCAAAAGCCCGAGGACGAACGCACGACACATGATCAGCAACACGGCTTGGTTTGCCACGTCCAAGTGCCCATGCCATAATTGGCGGGGTTGAACAGGCCCGCAGTGTAATTCATGACCTGAGAGACGTCGACTTTTGTCGTGTCCATGGTCATCTTCGCCCCGGGCGTGACGCAGCCCTGCTGTCCGGCGCAGTAGGTGAAATACTGTGTGGCACTGTTCAGGTCACCCTGACCGCCGACGGTTTGTCGAAGACCCTGGTCCTCGTACTGGCCCGAGGACGCACCTGCCAGGAAAAAGTACGTACTCCACACTCCCGGAGCGCCTGTATCGTAGGTCATGACGGCGTGGAAGACGTTGTTGTCCTGGCCGTAGTGGCTGAAGAACCATTCAATCGAGATGCCATAGCGGCCAGCCGAGATGAGGTCGACTTGGTAGTATATGCCCTGCTGTGAGGCCCCAAGAATATGCCCGTACGTCCAGAACGGCGCGAGCGTGTATCCGGGCAGATTGCTGGCTGGGAATGAGAGGGGCGTAGTATCGCTGTTTCGCGAGTTGGTGCTCCATTGGTTTTGCGTCACAGCGGTGACCCCCAAGGGGGTGTTCGTGAACCAGAAGTTGGCAGTAACCCACAACGTCGACTGTACATGGTCGAAGATCCTCCATTGAATCCCATACTGTGACGAAAGATCTAAGACGGTGGCGTGCGCGGTGTCGGACCAGCCGTTGTAATATGTGTTGGTGCCGCCCGGGTAATTGCGGGTGGTTTGAGAATTTGCGGCGAGCGGTCCCACAGGGAAGGGAATAGGCCTTGCGAGATACAGTTGGAGGGGTTGAGATGTCGTTGTGCTGCCTACTGTTATGGACAGCCACCGTCCGGAATGGATTCCTGCCGCGTTGGTCATGTTGGTTGTAAGTTGGACGCCGTTGCTGACTCGGCCGAATAAGGTGCACAGCCCAGAGCTGGCCGTCCACGAAAATGCGTAGCAGGGAGTGCTCTGCCCTGCTGCAATGTCACATTGATTCGCGCAGCTATCGTATGTTGGCTGCGTCGTGGCTCCAAAAGGGTTATTGCCTGGGTTGGTGTAATCGGCCTTGTGCCGTGTGAGCTCTGGATAAACGGACTATAGTGGCGCCAGTTGCAGACTTACCGCACACTCGATATCGTAATAGCGACCTGTTGCTGGATTCACCGACAGTTGCCCACCTAAGGAATAGTTAGTCACCGGCACTGCGGCTGAAACGTGCGGATCTTTCTCCTACCCTCGTATGTTGACATGAGGTTACCGTTGCAGACTGGGTCCTGAGGGTAAGCGAGTGGGAAGTTGGTGGAAGTAGCCTGAGCAAGATCCGTAGTTGAAGCCGTGGAAGCCGTGGTCGCTGCTTGTGTGACACTCGTTGTTGACGCTCTCAAAGTACTTGCGCCGGATGAAGACGTCGGGGCCGTAGTAGACGTCGTTCCCCCAGAACCAGCACACACGAAACTCGGATCATTATAATCAGTCATTTGGGAATACCCGGCATAGAGCATCCGAGCGCTATTGAAGGTAGCATTGCCCCGAGTAGCACAAGTCAAAGTGGAGTAAGGGAAGCAATTGTTAATCGACCCTTGACTCACGTCTGTCACCATGAATGTCACTCCAAGACAACTATTCACTCTAATAGCGTTTGCATATTGACACTGGTTGATGCAGTCTGTCAAATCGAATGTCAACAGCGGTTGCGACGATGAACCGGTAAAGGCCGTGGCGCATTCTATCTCAAAGTTGGCATTGTTGCCGAGGAAGTTGTAGGAGTAGCAAGTGGGAGAATTGCCTGGGCACGCCGATGCTGAACCAGTTGGAGCTGCCGCGCAACTAGTAGGGAAATATGATGTTGTCGATGTGGTTATGGATGATGATGTAGCAAACGTTGACGAGAGTGAAGACGCTGGAAACTGTGTTGTGGTGCTCGTAGGCGTGAAGATAGGGTCGGTGATCGAGGCATATCCAGCGTAAAGCAGGCGAGCACTGTCGACATTTGCATTGAAGACCGTCCCAGTTACACTAGATAGAAGAAGGCAGTTGGGCCCGTTTCCACTTGATGAACCAAGATAGCTAACACCCACACATCCAAACGGCAGTGCAACGTTATAGTTCGTGCAGTAGCCCACACAACTTTTGAGCGAAGTGGCCGTTGTAGAGTTCCCAGTTAGGACAGCTCCCTGCAGTGATGTCGCACACTCGACCTCGTAGCAGTAGCCGTCGCTGTTGACATTGAGCGCTTGGTGGTTGTAGGTGGAGCAAAGGTTGGTCGTTGTTGGAGTAGCCGAACAATAGGAAGTTGTGGTTGTTGATGTAAGAGGGACAGTCGTGCTTGCGCTGGGACTCCGCGAAGTAGTGACTAACGATGTGCTCGTAAGCGACAGGCTTGACTGTGAGGTTGGTTGACTGGTCGTAGCTGGGCCTGAGGATGCGGGCTGCGACGTGGATACACTGCTGCTACTAACAGACATTGATGGTGAGGTGGGCGAACGTGAACCAAGTGAAGAGCCGACAGTGGTTACGCTAGAAGAAGAACTCGAAGGACTTCTTGAGGTTGTCATCGTGCTGGATTGTTGTTGGCCAGTCGAGGCCGAGTTTGGCCCAGACGAACTAGCAGGACCAGAGCCAGGGCCTGCCTCGCTGCTTGTTCCTCCAACTGTGGATGACATAGACAACGGGCTGCTACTAGGGGCGGTGGACGGGGGATGCTGCTGCATACCTGAGGTAGGCGAAGCGTAAGTAGAAGTACTCGGACCGACGGACGGAATTGACGACGAGGTGGTCAGGGTAGATACAACATCTGTTGTTGTGGAGATTCCAGACACAAATGTTGACGATTCGGTTTCGCTCGTTTGGCTGCTAGAAACGCCAGGATCGGAAAAGACAATGTTGGGAGAGTATGGCTGGTTGACAACTATCGCAGCTTGTGCAAATGAATTGGCTCCTCTATTGACGGTGCCAATGTCGAATTTGAGATGGCATGGATTCGTATTGGCAAGCTGAAAACCTTAGTTCGTGGAAATCGTTGCTGCAAAATATGAACTTACAATATCAAACTCGACCGCAACACAAGGTCCCTGGGATCCAGGAACGTATGAGCTGCATGCATCAATACATTCAGCGATATCAGATGCTGCAACTACATCAAGATCAAATCCGGAAAGGTCGGTATCGCACAAAATCAGATAATCATTGTTAACAGTGCCGTCAAACGGCGAGCGGTCATAGCAGTTCGGTGAACCGGTCGTTGTCGGAGCTGGATATGCGGCAAGCGTTGTTGAAGATGTCACCGGACTTGAGGAAGATTCAGGCATGGACGACGGGCTTGTTACATCGGTCGGCGAGGGAGATGACATGGATGTGCCTGAAGTAGAAACGGAAGACTCTGAGAACGAGGCGGTCGTGGACATGGAAACAACACTGGCAGAAGTTGACACCGAACTGCTTCGTGGTGGCTGCATCGGTGTTGACATATCCGAGGTCGTGGTCATGCTTGACTGGGGCAAGAGAGTGGTTGACGAGGTCGAAGATGGAATGACATTTCCCGTAGGAATGACGCCGATTTGTACTCTGATACAGCCCTGTGGCAGCACTCCATTGAACACGATGACAAGCGTCGAGCCAGAGAGGCAGAAGATAGCCTGTCCACCAACGAACGCATCGTTCTTCCAGACAAGAATGTCATTCTCTAATATGGAGAACAGTGTGAAAATCCGAGGCAGCCTCTTCATGACTGGTGTCTCTGGCGAAGCTGCGAATGGCTGCGATGACACGTCTCCAGAGGTCGATACATAATTACCTCCGCTCATCAACTGGCCAAAAGGTGTAACAGCGAATGCTGCGGCATGCTGCGCGTCATTGGTGATCGTTCCATCGGCAGTGAGGTATTCGGTGAAGCCACCCAAGGCAAATGTGAGATAAACCCGCACTCCAGGGATTATACTAAACTGAGGTTAGCATTGTGATGCTATATCCCAGAGGAGAACGTACGTAGGGGTAGTCGATGCGCCGCTGCTGGTGCTTGAGTTCGTATATATTGCAGGACAGGAGCTGATCCCAATGGAGATTGTCGTGCCATAGCAGGAGACAGATACGAAAAGACGCAAGGCAAAGGCGATGCCGATTAGAACCTTCGAATTCATCTCGTCTTTCTCCCTCTCTTGTCGATCCAATAACTTACCTTGGAGCACAAGGACCAGTATCGCGTTGATGAGAGAAATATTGACAACATCGTGAAAGAGATAATGGAGACACGGTGGTCCGTGTGAGACGGCCAGGGAGCACGACTGGAATGATAAACACGAAAGGATGGGAATGTCTAGGAAAGGGGCCATCGTGCCGTATCGGCTCCCTTTGCCTGGAGCATATTGCAGACAGAGTGAACAATCCCGCCGCCACCGCGTCTTGCTCACGGTGAGGTCGAATAATATCCTGGAAGCGAGTCCTTGGTCCAGGGGCTGCCCGCTTGTGGGCGACCAAGGCAGGCCCCCGCCTTGCCTAGGTTAGCTCCTGGCGGCAGGAAAAGTGTTCAAAGTCTTCGAGCCGGGTACTGTCATTGTGTTAGGCTCTTCTTTGGGAATGTGCATGAGAGTTGTGCTCTTCCACCGTAATGTCGTGGTGTTGAAGTGTTTATTAACTCCAATCAGGAGGAACGAGAAAACTAAAGCGGCGACTGTTCCACAGCGAACCGGAATAGAATTTGCCGCTGCTTTTGTGGACCTGTAGCCGACCGCTGCGCGATGGATGCGGAGTCCTTGGTTATTACATCCAGCATCTGGTTGATAGAAATGAGAGATTCGACGGAGAACAACAACCGCAATCATGAATGGTCTTGGAGAGCATCGCAGCTCCGTCCTCGCTACGGATCAAAGACGACTTAGAACTCGGCCAGCCATCGAAGCGCCGGCCCTGTCGAACTTGAATTTGTCTACTTCTTCAATGCCCTTCCACATCTCAGGAGTTTGTGTTAGAACAGGTGTGAATAAAGTTACATATTGAAGTACTGGGTATACATAGGTTCGCGCTTGAATTATTTGAAAGTCAGACTGCTTGCATCCGACTTGGTTCGGTTCAACATTCATTGAAATCCCAGGCTGCTGGTATCTCAAACAAGTACTGCGTACAACTCCCGCTTTTCCCTTTTCCGAATATTGATCTAGGCTCCAAATGACAGAAAGATTGATAAAGACCAGAAAGTCCCAGACATCCTCTGCCAATGGCGCCCGATTAGGTCAACGCTCAGCCCGGGTCCCCTGTGAGTCCATTCCCATCCATAAAACGAACCTATCCAGCCCATCCTATTCATACTTTGAGAAAACTCGCGAGCATAATCGAACCCCAGAACCTTTGGGTTTCCGATGTGTTGCGCGCGCCCATTTGGGACACCATAGGGCTCAATCATCAAACTCCAAAAAGCACTGATAATACCGCTGTGCGCCAAGGTTCCAATATTTTAAACGGAGATCCAAAATCTCAAGATGAGGACAGACCAGAGATTGTAAGATTGGGAGACATTTGGGGCGGAAGGTTTGCGTCCTCAGCCGTCACCCAGATCATTCTTCCACCTAATCGCATCATCCGCACCCACCGTCTCTTTTCGATCTTCACGAATGGGTGAGATACTCATCGTTGAAGCTTCCTCAGAGGCGGACATCAGATCAGGAGAGCTGATCCACTTGGCCGCTGCTGCTGAGGACGGAGAAAGCAAGGACACCGTGCGCGGGTTGTTCGCTTGTGACGCAGAGGGAATGATTCGACTCAAACTCAGTCTCGGGCGGGATTTCCCGGTTGGTCCTGTTCCAGTTGAAATGCCAGATACAGGATCAACACCACTTAAAACGTCAGAGCCCTCCAGGATGTCTGCCTCGGCGGCAGCGGAGAAGCCGAATGTAACGGGTGACTCTGTCTGAGGGGATGCGAGACTCGACATACGCGAGGTCATGGTCATGGTCCTCCCTGGTGCGGCAGGTGAGTGCAGAATCGGATGTTGAGAGGATGAGGAGAAAGTGGAGCCGGCGTGAGTGAACACACTGTTCGCGGGTGAATACATTCCAGTTACCGGATTATGGTTTGGTCGGGGCGATGGAGACAGCCATGAGCGGAGAACTGACCAGCGTGTTGTGGGAGCTCTCTGGATTGGAGTCATGGGAGAGGGAGACACTGTTCGATTCTTCTCGGATTCCGCCAGAAGCTGTGGGTGACCGTCATTGTTGATGTTCCCTACGCCTTGAATTACACGTCCAGGCCGTCGTCTCACCAATCCACGGATCTCACCCTCTCTCATCTCCGGTGTCACAGTACCGGGCCCGACATCTCTTCTCATGGCCTCGACCAGCGTCCAGCTCGATCTGTAAATGCCGCCTGTCGTGTTCTCCCCCGGGACACGTCCGTGAGGGCTGTTCAGATATGTGTACAGCCATAGTGCATAGGTGCCCATTGCCCATAGCGCAAGTAGCAACGAAGTAATGAATAAAAAGAGGAATGAAAATCCCCAATTATGCCATCTCGAGTAGCGGCATGTGGCATTGTCTAGGACGTAGGAGAAAGGATATGTTTCGTTATCGTACAACCAGAATGCGAAATCAGTAAGCTGTGAAACGGAATCCAGCGCTCCCGGAGCCGGTGGTGATGATTCAGAGAAGGTGGTCAGGTAAGTGGTTAACGTGGACAATGCCACTGGCGAGTATGAGGTCGTGATGTTGAGCGTTGGAGCGGCAATTGTGTGCGTCTGCCCATTGAGAGTAAAGTTGCTTTCAGAGTGGTTCTGCCCACTGAGGCCATACATGCTCACATATTGCACAGTATGCCAGAATGTTGTACAGTTGGCGGGGACGTAATCCCAATTCACTTTGCCGTGACCACTCGAGTTCTCGTTGTTTGCTCCGTCGCCATTGTCACGCCGGTATAGAGTCTTGTTAAGGAATGGACTTTCGCTATTGTCGTAGCTGTCGCCGTCGTCGTCGTCGTTATCATCATCATCATCATCATCATCATCATCATCAAGAAATCCCTCCTGAACACAGGTATCTCCAACCGTAATATACATTGGTCCAGGCTGTCCAATGCGTTCTGCGTCGTTTATGGCAAATTGAACCACTTGAAAGTTTGTCCACAGGATGGACTCATTGTCATAATCTGGCATGACCGCATTGATATCGCTGCTGTACCCTGACATGGCTGTGATTAGGGTTGAGAAGCTGAGGACGAACAGAGAGCTCAACACAATCCAGACCATGATTAACCTCGCTCGCCAGCCACGGTTCGTCAGCAAATCGGCGGCCAATCGGCCTGTCCTAACCAAGCTCGGAGGCACAAAAGCCAAGGACTCAAATGTGTTGTAAGACACGGAGGCTTCACGCATAGCCAAGGCCAGGTACTGCGACGAAACTTTGAAGGTTACCACGGCAAGGAAAGCCTGCCCTCCCCGCCCAACAAAAATATCCCACACAATGTCGATGAATTTCGCTGTTGAGAAGGCCATCTTTCCCCAAGAGACGGTGATGTAGAAGAATCCGGACGGATCCCAGAGGCTTATCGACGGCTTGTCGTATGGCGTGAACTGTCCATTGAAGTTGCAGTGGGTGAAAGAATTTGATACCCAGTAGTCAGCCTCAAAGGCATACCATTTCGGAATCTTGACGACGAGAGCGAGGAAAATGATCGGAAGAGAGAAAGCGAGAAAGACGACGACATGCTTGAAAAGGGTGAGAACTGTTGGCTGCCATTGTGGTGAAAGTTCGGCACAGATGTGATGGCCGGTGTAATTGTCGGTAAGCGTTGCGCTGGTAGAACCGGTGCTTGACCGCTGCTGTGCGCGCACGACATTAGATTGATTCTTTTGCGCGCTCCATCTCCTCAAGTTGCTCCAAGATCTGGGAGCTGCATAATGCGCGCCATGGGAGATTTCAGGGGCACCATCCAAATGGGATTGCGTAAGAGCGAACATGCTATCTCGTAGACGGGACATCAAATGGTCCTTCAAGGGCTGTGCGTCGTACCCTCATTCCTAGAACTCAGAAAACCTGAAGCCGGAGGAGGGTGCCACGGCAAGGTTTAAAGCAGACAGGTCGCTTCAGAGTTTGTCCATCGGAGGTCGAGTATGATGATCCCAAAGTAAAAAGGACGGACAGTAGTTTTGACAGGGCTGACCGGCGAGGTGAAGGGGATAAGACGTATGAGCTCAGTGGATGAGCCCGGAGACTCTGAACCCCTGATGATCTTGTCAAACTGGAGGGAGAATACGCAGGGCCTTGCAGGGCTTGGAAATCCGACGTCGAAGATGCGGAGGTAGACCAAATGCTCTGTGTCGGAGTCAAGTGACGGGATGCGAAAACCATCAAGGCAAAGAGAAAAAGCGTGCAGTCAGCCGGGAAGCAGTGAGCATCGTGGGATGGCCGCAACCAGAAGAGGCAGTCCGAGAGCAGCAGACGGAGAGCTCATCCCAAGGCAGTTAGCAATGTTTATCAAGCAGAAACATCATTTGCCAACACGAGAACCCGGACCCTACCTGCATACTCGGTAGCAGCCCGGGCATTGGCCGGTGAGATATTTTTGAATCCTCGTCGCTGTGGGAGGGTTGGGCTGGCCCCCATCGCCCACGGACATGGTGCTCGAATAAAAGTCTTGGTTGCGTTGATCCAAGTCCGACGGCTTCAGGAGTTGAAAGATGATTGACGCTTCAACCCGTGGAAAAGGAGGGCGTCAATAAAATATCTAGGAGAGAAAGAGAAAGGAGAAAGCGGGAGGCACAAGGTGCGCGAGGCGTTCGAGGAGTCGCAACATATACCCTGCTCGCCTCGTCGCCAGCAACCATCACGTGACGGCCCTACTTTTACCCGGAGACGTGTCTCTATCGTGTCAATCCCATGTCAACGTCAACGTCAACGTCAACGTCAACGTCAACAACACCGATTGAGAATACGAGGACGAGGAGACATCCGACCTGACCGGGCAATTAAACTCTGTTTCTTATCTGTTGTTCTCTTTCCCATATCGCCTCGTCGTCAGAGAGCTTTCTCAGCCATGCCATACCGTGGCATGCTCTAAGGACCATGCTATCCTGGAGCACTGAACTGTCTACTCTGAGATGTGCCATGCAAGTCATGCTAATGCTGATGCTGATGCTCGCTCATGCTCGCGCCCA